TTTTTTTTTTTTTTTTTTTTGAAGGATGTTCATTGATCTATTTGCTTAGTTTTTTGAAGTGACTATTGATTTATGCCGGTCTAATTCATTACTGAGGAATTTTATCTTCAATTACCAATACATTGTATAACAAAATGATGGCTACGCTGTGTATCAGTAGAAGTAAAAACTAATCTGGGGTTTGACTTTCAGGTACAGGACATGGGGGAAAATTTCAATGAAGCTGGTGCTTCTGCTCTTTACGACTTGTTTCGTAGCCTTTGTCGAGTAAGGAATGCTTTCTGGTTATCACGTGCGTTCAAAGTACACCTAGGCCCAATACCTTGTTGAAAAGCCATTATATTGTATAGCCTCTTTTCTAGCTTTGTGGGGATAAAAAGTAAGCTGTATCCTTTTAAGGTTAAGGAAGCTGCAACCGGCGAAAAGTTTAATCCAGCCTTCCAATTTTCAATAATGCCATATCGGTTAGCCGGGGAGGCTCGCCACCTGTAGGTTTACTCTGTTTGTCCCCTTTCAAAAGAACGACACAAATTTGTACGGCACCGTAGTAACTTTATATTGCACCTAACATTATCCATTATCCATTTTCTTTTTTTTTTTTTTGAATTTATTACTGATCGCTGGAGCTGTGGTCATTTAGTTGTTCTCTTACACTTCCCGATCAAGCAAAACAGTACGTTTATGAAGGTTCAAGCGAAGCAGTCGGGAAGTATAATGTTCTTAGAGAGGTATGTTACTTCACCTATGAATATGCAGGCTTTTTATACTAGGTACTCCCGCTTGTATGAGAGGGCCGATTTTCAGGCACTGATAGATCTTTTCCAACGTAAGATGTTTGAGCCGATGTCAAATGAACAGCATGGATCTTGTGATATACCAGGCTCCTCTGTAACAAAGCGAAGGACACAGGAGTCGAATTTAGAAAAATCTAGAAGCGGATTAAACAATATTACAAGTGGAGGATGTTTATCTGCTTTGACGGGAGAGAACGTTTTTTTGAAAGAAGTGATTTTCCTTCCTGTTCATAGCGAATTTATAGCTGCATGTTAGGATAGAAAGGTGGTGGTATTCAAAGGCAAACATGGCAGATTGGAAAGTATCTGTTTTACGGCTGCGATAGCATGAAGAAATTTCATGTAGCTGAAGGGATTTGCACTAGAATAATGTTGTTGTCAGAGGAGTGAAGAACGATGTTTTGTTGTATTTCGTTTGAGTGTAAAGTGGAACTAAGACGAAGAAATGGTGGAGTCTGCTGTTAGAATTAATACTTTCTCATTTAGCTGGAGGATATTCAGCTGCATTTACAAGATGCTAGGAGACAGATCAGAACTCTCAACGATGTCATTGAGACGTTGGCCCGAAAATACTACTTGTTGAGGACACGACTTCATGAACTGGTTACTTTCTTCATCTGATTACAGCTCTCTCTTTAACTTGTTAAAATTTTCATAATTTTTTCACATTACATCAGTAGGTTTTAGCAGAAAACTTGAAATGGTGCAGCGTGAAAACGTTAGTTTAGCAGAACTTCGAGAACCTGCTGAATAAGACAAGTACAAGAATCCTGGTGCTACTTTAAATGCATACGAACTAATTCATATAGAGCTAATTAAATTTTGAATAAATTATTTTGTTGGTTAGGAAATTTTGAACAGTCAAACAAAAGATCTGAGATATGGAATCACTTGGGAAATATTTCAAAAAATGCTTGTTTAAATCTTTTTGAAATTCAGAAAATTTTGGCGTAAGTGTTGTTGCTGTATCTGATAAACAGTTAACACTGGAATGATCACAACTTTGTTTAGGCAGTGAGAGTACACCCACCGTTTTTTCATTAGATGTTTTGTAACTTCTAATCTTATCACTTTTTGATATTTCCTCCTTTTAATTTCTTCATAATGCAGTTGTCGGGTTTGAGCTGAGATTTAAAACTCTGCATTCAGTTGTAAAACGGCTTTTTTGATTGTAGTTCTGAAGCCGATATCTTTCAATTTTCTAATTACTGAGGTGTATGCTGTATTTCACTGCAAAACAAAGTGCTCGGTCGAAAAGCAAAAAAAGAACTTCTGGGAGACAAAGTGTGAATTGGAACGAAGAGGGTGGGACAGGTATTTACTCCCAAAGAAGACTTTTTAGGAGGAGATGGTTCCGGACAAATGCTGTTTCCAAAATATGAAAGATTTGAAGCGCTTCAAAATGGAGGGAATGAGAAGTGTTGCAGAAGTTGCGAGACGCTTTTTGAAAACCTACTTGGTGCGGCTGGTCAACCTCCGTTTGGATACGGATCGGGAGTTCTCTGGAAGAGTTGATTTTGCAAGCCAGTACAATTGGTGGACTTTTGCACAAACTTTGGGCAAATAAAAGTGAAGAGAATTTTTTTTTAAGAGAAGTAAGCTGGTAAATAAAAAAGTTCTTTTATTAGCGACGAGGAAGCATCCTAATGGGAAAGTAGCTCTTTTATATGAATGTTGCCCAAAATGGAAAGCGTTATGTGCTCTTCTATCCCGTTTCAAACTGTACATTGTTAAGAATCCAAATATGGGATTTTTTTCAGTATTGGAGTTGTTATTCGTTGGAGAGACAAGAAGTTTGCGTAGAAATATTAGATGGCAAAGTTGAATGATCTCGAGATCAAAAGGAATTGCTTAGAAATCATCGGTCCTTGCACTAGTTTACTTGAGAGGAACACTGACAATGGAAATGACTAAAAGTCGTGGATTTTTGGATAGAGCTTTAAATTTTTAGTTAAATCAATTGTATCTTAAGAACATGAGCTAGACTTCACAGCCAAGGGCAACTGATCAGAAATCCTGAGAGACTGCAGAAGAACTAGTCTCAGGTTCCAGGTGTTTCCAGCAGGTAGCCTCAGAAGCAAAATTGTAAAAAAACTAAGGACTGAATTGATAACCAGAAGACACAATGAAGATTCTCTTAATATTATCGACAAAACTGAACTGCACTAAAGAGCTAAATCCCAGCGAACATATCTCTGTGAAACTGCAGAAACTGGTTAGACCAGTTAAAGGAGAGTGCTTTAAATAGTATCTTTCGCAAGTCTTTGAGAATACGTAGACTTTCAATGCTTCATTCGTTTGGGATAAAATTCATTTCCCGTTACAGTAATTCGAAGAAAAAAAACAGTGTAAAGTTTTTGAAAATTTAACGGACTCTCTGTTGTTTACTGAAAGGCAAGCACATAAGCGGACATTAAGTACTCATAAACCGGTTCCAGGAAGCAAACTCAGAAAAAACCCTTCGATTGATGACAAGAGTAAAGATTGTTTCTAGTCGTTTTCCTGTTTTTCTCCAAATCTCTTATACATGATTAGATTTTCTTGGCAAATTTGTTAGTACCATTTCCCGTTGGGTATTGCGCTTTCTTTAGCGTAAAAAGCGCTTGAAATAATAATCCAAATAAATATATGGAAGAGACGTAATCCGATTATTGAAGATGATGGAGAAACATTTGAAGTTAAAGCATTGCCTGTATCAGATAAGTCAGATTTTGCCAAATTTTATCGAAGTTAACCACAGTGCTGCTGAAAGTCGACAAACGGTGATACCCGCAATTCGATGAACAATGTTTCCTGCTTCAAAATTTATAAAAATACAATTCATTCTTATCATTAGGATCAAACGAGGGTCACAGTTGTTGCAGAGTTCACTGGGGCATACTTCTTGAAATCTGTTAACGCATTGAGCGCCTTGTAAAACTCCACCATTCAATTATGATATTGAGAAGTGTCACTGTGACCGCCTTCAGGCACACTCAATAAGTCCTTATTTATATGATCCAGATGTTCTTCTCATAGAAGTTGCTCTAGATTTCCAGAAGCTCCAAAGATCACTAACATCTAGTACACTACGCACCAGAACTTTGCCCACTGCATTTTGCAAAAAGTTCAAGTCAATGTTCGAGGTTTTGAAAATTTTGGTGTCACAGAGCCTACCAGAACCCGTCTAGCCCTAAAGTACTAATACAACGAGAGTTTTAGTAAAATAGGCCATTATTACAATTTAATTTGCTTGTTCCTAAATAAGTTTTAAAATTTATTGTTTTTTCTTATAATGCATTGCCTCATGGGATCAAAACGAGTAAAATGAGCATAAATCTTTGTATCCAAAAAAATGAACTTGTCAGAGACAGTCGACTTGGCGTTTTTACGTCTGCGATCTATAAGTGATCTTTGAAAAAGTGAAGTCAGGCAACAACTGTTGCCACCAATTGAGTTCTGCCTGACATCAATACTTCTCCAAGTACTACGTTAAGCGTTACGAATGCAACCAGATGTGACTTCCCCCGCATATACTTCGGTAGGCAACTGTACCTCTTATATTTGTTTATTTGCACTTGAATCACACTTCATGGGCGCCACCTCCCGATCGTAAACCAGTCTATGGCACTGTAATACACCAAAAATGTTGCATAAACACGGTCTATCCTTCACCAGTATTCTAAACGTTCCCCTTGAGTTCTCCATGCCTGGATCACCAAAATTCCATATCTGGTCAACGAAGAATTGATTTTAATGGTTTATTTATTTACTACAGCTACCATTCTTTTTTTCTGAATTTAAAAAAACAGTGGGCCAATCCAATTCATAAAGAGATGAGTGAAAATGACCAGAAGTTTTATTAATGACCAAAAACTTTTTGTCTAAGAGATTTCAGTATTTTTAAGGCACATAAACAAGATCCATAAACTGTTACATCCACATCAAAATCAAAAATGTGCAACAGCAAAAAAATCACAGGACCGTTAGCTTACCTGAACAAATTGAAAAAAATCGAATTAACGCTTTTAAAAATGCAGAGGAAATTTCATATTATGCTACATACAAAGATCATACAAATCTCTCAAGTGATATAACTTTTAGTGAAATATCACAACCGCACAAAAAAGTTTTGACCCGAAATTTGTTCCACCTAACATATAAGGTACAATGAGGTGAAACAACACAGACTGGTGAACAGCCAAAAAACCTGAGAACCAGGGTCAGAAAAATTAAGGCAATAGAAATATAAACGAGCAGCAGACTTTACAGATACTTAAGAAAAAGTAAATTAAGTTAAAAATTGATCAACTTAAACAACTTATCAACATCATGCGCTAATAAATAAAAAAGTTAAACAATGAATTACACCATTCTATGGCAAGATTTTTAAACAAGCTTCTTTTTTTTAAGTTGAAAAGCTTCCAAACCTGAATCCCCTTTTTTCAAAAGGGGAAGGTACTAGGAAGACTTGTACCAAGGTACAGCTCCAAGAAGAGCTCTCGAAAAAAAACGGAAAAGCATCACGAAGGCTTTTTTCGTCAAGTCAAATAATTTTCAGAAAAAAGCAAAAAAGTCACTAAAGGATTAGTCGTTCGTGGACTGAAAATGAGAAATATTTTGTATCTGATGAAGGTAAAAAGAAGAAAACTTCAATAAATAACTTCATTGTCCAGCAGTTGTGGAAGTCGTTTAACGTAGACCTGCAACGGAAGTAGGTTGTGGAACAACGATCGAGTGATGTAAAAGAATTGCTGATAGCTCCTGAAACCAAGGGTGTAATTCGACGAAAATTGTTTTGGGGAAATAAATGACGTATTTAAAACAATGAAACCTGGCAAAATTGCGACAGCAAGATGGCTGCAAAAACGATCTGTTTGGCCCGTGCTTGGTCCATAGTGACACGCTGGCTTTCGATCGCTTTATGTGAGAAATACCGGAAAGAATGTGGACGGAGGGAATTTTTTGGCTCATTTCTGCGCATACTACCGCCAAAAGGCCTGAACCTAAAACATTTTAACTTACGACCCGTAACACCACTCGGCGTTGACCACTACTCACTATAATAACCCTAAACTTCCTTTGATTTACCTTAGAAAACTATTCCCAGAAGGCTCTGGTCGGTCGCAAAGAGCAAACCCGTTCCTCAGTAATGCTTCGTCAGGATACACCTGATTCCGAGCATAGTGGAACTTATTGTTTTCCATGACCTAAAAGCCAAATAACTACAACTTCTACACAAAGAGACCTAATGGCAAGACTTGTGCTTAGACAGCTACCGAGGAAAAAACCAAACAAGAGGAGAAACTAAGAAACTTTTTCAAAGCGATCCACTTTCGTCCTGAGAAGTTTGACCCCTCTTTCTAACAAAACGTCAAACCCTTCTACAGACGTTGCAAAAGCATCAATTCGAGTCTTGAGGGTATCTAAGATCTAAAGAATGAAAAAATAAAGCGGTTTTCCAGAAAAAACACAGAAATAAAACCCAAAAAACTCGAAATTCTTTGGCCGTAATCCCTACTACATTTGTACAGATTACTTGTTAACAAATATTAGCACTGAAAACAATAGGACGGTGAAACCGTCTGAGTTCTAATATAAACCTAAACCTTAAAAAGTCTTTTAATTCCGGGTCGAACAGCCAAATTTAAATCAAAAAAGTAACTGGCTAAAAGAGGTTGCGTGAACGATGAAAGGGTGGAAAAAACGGATGTTAACTGCAAATTGAAATAATAGTTGTTATCGAGCATATTTTCCAAACAGCGGAGTAGAGACTCTAAGAAAGGTCCCACACCTACAAGAAATATCACAGTGTTACTGCTATGAAGTGTACTTACATGTTAACACTAAGCTTCATTGTTTTCTAAAAAACAAGGACAAGACATTTTGAAATGACAATAGGACGGTAAAACCGTCTGAGTTCTAATAAAAATAAAAGAGAAACCAGGTAATAAAATCCTTAAAACCTTGATGGGCGAAGCACTTTATGGGTTGGCCAACCACAAGCAACACATCTTTATCATCACTGCTTTTCGTTTCTGTTTCTTCCACAGCTTTTTCCGAAGTTAATTTTCCCATATTCAGCTCCTCTAAATACTGAATTCGCGAGTCAATTAGAGCAAGATTTTCTTGCAACGAATATTTTGACTTTGCGGGAACAGAAACGCGTCCAAGAAGATCCATGAATGTATCCATATCCTAAACAATCCGAGTTACGTATTTAGCAACGCATATAGCCCTGTAGTCCTCAAAAAATCATTTGGTGAAACATTTCATAAAAAACCTTGATTTCGCCCCAGCCACGTAACACAAAAGATTTTTTGACTTCCATGTCGGTATCAAATCCTCCACTGGCTGAACTAGTTTTCCTACTTTCACTACTAAGATTTGTTGTTGAATTTATCTGATCTACGTCGACTACATTTTTTATATTCATTCCTTCCCCTCCAGATTCCGAAACTTCATCGTAAGCAAACTGAAAGTAATCTATCGACGTAGTCATCATAGCGGGATTCGGCCTAAAATATATTTCGTGAACTGGATTGGAAAAGTCTATTTCTACCCCTGAGAAAAACAAATGCGTGAAGCGGGTAATAAAAGACTGCTTACGTGATCGGTGTGATAACAAGTTCGTTAAAATCTGACTCCGAAAATGGAGAATCAGGCTCATCTAAAAGAAAGGATGGTCGAGCAGGATCTTCAGGCTGCCCGAGCTCAGGCAGAGGAGCTTGTTGAGACAAACTTTCAGCCGTGGTGTGATGCGTATGACCAGCAAAATATCTATTCAAACCATTTCTAGCAGAAGCGAACGATGAACGTAATGAAGACTGGCGTTTAAACTGAAAATGCGTATCATTAGAAAAATTTTTCGCTCAGCAATTTAACTGTTTAACTAGAAAGGAGTGTTGTGACGCCTGATGCCCTTTAATACCTGCAACTATAATAATCTAAATTTTGAATTGCAGGGGGGTAAGCTTATAATGTAAACAAATAAAAGTGAGTTACCGAAGAAATATTTATGACATTATCTTCCTCAGAGCTTGAGCAAAAAGAAGACGGTGCAGGATTTAGGCCATCATATGCCCATTTCCAACTAGAAGCACAAGAATCCGCCGTTAGCTGCACCAACCTCCTTGCTTCTTCAAGGTAACTTTGAAGGGTTCCTTGAGAACACAACTGAAAAAGTAAGCTAATAAAGCGAAACGTACCTAGAGAACATTTGCTAATAATCTTTGAATAGAGTATTAAAACAACTAGCCAAAAAAGCAAAAGTTATGTGAATTTCCCTTTCAAAATTCGAAATATGAGAAGTGAAACAATTTTCGAACGTTGACCATAAAGACAGCTGACCATTGATGACTTCAAAGTACACTCGGGAATAAGTGATAAAAGATATTTGGCTGTTGTAATTACATAAGCCCGATTTCTAAGAGCTGGAAACTGATTTGGCTGGAGGTATGTACAGGGAATTAAATATCTAAATTAAACTGGACTTAAAATCTAATGAAGAACCATTTGAAAATTTAGCAAAAAAAAATATAAGTTTAACCAAAGAACTCAAAATTAACTTTAAATTAGATAAAATAATTTTTCAAAATTACTTGAATATGAGATCGATCATAACATCTTCGCAGCGTAATTCAATTATAGCTCGCAATAAAGAGAGGCTTACTTGACTTAGCTAAAAAATTACTTCAATCATGTTAGATTCACAAAAAGGCCCTTAAACGCACCAGTTTAAAACAATTATATCAGGAAGTTAACTATATGCAAACTGTTCATACTCGATTGCCATTCGATATCCTTTCTATAATAACCTCAATCACTTTTTTGCCTTTCTGGCTTTCTTCAACAATTAAAAGTTTCAAGAGAGCCTGAATCAATGGAGCTTCAGTAATGGCATCTAAACAAAGGTGATAATAAACTGTTGCAGATACCAAATCCTCCTGTCCGGCCTAAAAAAAATGAAAAATGTACAGAAAAATCATATTTCCACTAAAATCTAAATCCAGAATGAAAAGTAAGAACCTGGAGAAGTGAGGGAAGAACTACTGGAAGTAAGAAGCCATTGTATATGAAATTGACAACCTGAGAAACCACATATTCATGAGCT